TCAGCCTGCCCCAGATCTTCATCTTCTCCCTGCGGGAGGTGCGCCAGGGCTCAGGGGTGGTGGACTGCTGGGCAGACTTCAGGTACCCATGGGGAGCCCGAGCCTACATCACCTGGACCACACTGTCCATCTTCATCCTGCCCGTCGGCATCCTCACCGTCTGCTACAGCCTCATCTGCTACGAGATCTGCAAGAACCTCAAGGGCAAGACCCAGAGCGCTGCCCCCAGCAGGGGGGGGCCTGCAGCAGCTGCCCCTCCTGCTCCCTGCTCCTCCGAGAAGAGCGGGCAATGCTCCAGCGGGCAGCCCTCGCGGGTGAGCAGCGTGCGGACCATCTCCCGTGCCAAGATCCGCACGGTGAAGATGACCTTTGTCATCGTGGTGGCCTACGTCGCCTGCTGGGCACCGTTTTTCAGCATGCAGATGTGGTCGGTGTGGGATGAGGATGCTCCTGATGACGGTGAGTAGCGGTGAGGATGCTGGGCTGCAGCCCACAGCAGGCACACAGCATGCCCATTGCATTTTTAACAAACGAGCTGTCTTATTTTGTCATTTTAAAAATCACGGGGAAGGCTACAGATTTGTTCCCCAGTAGTATTTATAGAAAACATTTTGCAGAGTCAAATCATTGCTTTCACCAGAAAAACCACTGAAAAGCCATGGCTTCTGACCATCACCTGTAGGGACGTGTAAAGATGTTATGTGAACATCTTTGCCGTGTGTGCTTCTTCCCTCATGTGGGAAATTGCTTCAGGAGCTGCTGTGTTTGATAGGTGGCTGCAGGGAGGGTTTTAATTGTGCCTGCTGCTCCCATCCTCGGCTCGGACTGCCTCGCGGAGCAGCCGTGCTGCTGGAGCAGGTCCTTCACGTGTAACACCAAGCGCCTGTAAGGCTTTTGCTGAGCCAGCTGCAGCGGTTTCAGAAGTGGATTTCTGATTTAATAGGTTGACTTTTTCCTGGAAATTTTCAGTAGCTCTCCTAGCCTGTTTGTGGGTAGAAGGAACTTTAGCCAAGATTGAAAGGCCTCTGGGAGATGCTTTGGCCAGCAAACAGGCTGAAGGAAGGTCCAAAAGCTGCTGGGTCTCATCTCCCAGCACATCCCCATTGCAGTATATCACCCACCTGCAAACCTCAGCCAAGGGTAGAGCCTGGCTCTGCCTGCCATGCTGCAAACTCTCCTGCCCAAAGAAATGCCAGTCAGATGGGATGGGAATGGGACAAAGGACACATGCCCGAGCCAAAACGAGCCCCAAGGTCCTGCCCGTTGCATACTGGGACCCTGTCCAGAGCATGCCCAGTCTGGTGGATGTTTCAGCTCTCTCCCTTGCCTTCCCAGAGTCCACCAACGTGGCTTTCACGATCACCATGCTGCTGGCCAGCCTCAGCAGCTGCTGCAACCCCTGGATTTACATGTTCTTCAGCGGGCACCTGCTCCAGGATGTGGCACGCTGCCTGTCCTGCTGGGGTGGCCCCCGGCCCAGGCTGCGGAGACAGGCCTCCACTGGGAGCCTCTGCAGCAGAAAAACCACCATCCTGAGCCACAGCCACCACACCAGCCCTGCCGGCCTCCCCCTGCACGGGGGCAGCACCAAGGACTTCTACCCACCCTGCGAGGAGGTGATAACCGAGTTGAGCACGCTCTAGGCTGTGGATGTCCCCAGGCACATCCCTCCACTGGAGACAGCTGCCACCAGATGCAACACCACAAACATTGTCACGCAGAGCTGTGTCTCTCCCCACCTAGTAGCATCTCATTTTGCAGGACTGGGTGCTTAACCCAGAAAGCATCACTGTCCATCTTGTCCTTGCGTGCTTGCTACTGTGCACGCTGCGTCTGCTGTGTGCATCGGGGGAGACGGACAGGGCCCCACCAGCCGTAGCCCAACCGCAGCATCCACCTCCCTCGTACATTAGGAAGCCTCTTTCTGCCTGGCTGCTCTCCTCCAGGAACGCCTCACAACCCAGGTATCCGCTGGGGGATGCTGCACCAGCGCGTCTTCCTGGAGGGACTCCAGCTTTGGGTCTTTAACAAATGCCAGCAAAGCAGCCTGAGCACAGCAGGAGGCAACGTGGCTACATCTGCTCAAGAGCTCCCCGCAAGCAAGTTACTCATCTCCCATCCTCAGGGCTTTGCTGGCAGAGCAGCAAATGCAGACACAGCTTTCCCACACCCCGGGGCACAGCACACTCTCCCCCCTGCGCTGCATAGCATTGCCCTTCGCTGACAGGCAGCTCTGGAGCCAGACCCCCTGCCCACCTCCCCGGGGACAGGGCTGCAGCAAAAGCCACGGGGCAGAAGTGTCCTCTCCTGTTGTGCACAGCTGTCCCGCTACCGCACAGTGGCATTGCACTGCGCTGGTGCAAGCATCCAAAATGCAGCACTGACACCAAAGAGCTGCTCGGAGGAACCTCGGCTCAGCTCCAGCTTCCCCAGGCAGATCCTGCCTCCCTCCGTGCCCCGGCACTTTCCATCAGGTTTACTCACAGCCCCTAGTTGCTGTGCAGGGCTGCTCCGCACTGTTCAACAGCTGCTGCATCCCATTAAAGAGCTGCTCTCAAATTGCTGCTGCTTTTGTCTTATTTAGCAGAGATCAGAGTGCTGAAACCACCCAGGGCTCGGACATGGCTTCAGGGCACTTGGAAGCACAGAGGAGGGGCAGCCGGCAGCCAGGAACAAGCCATGGCCTTGCAGTCCCAGCCTGGCCCCTGCCCTTCTCCCTGCATGTTGTGGGTCTCCCAGAAGCTGTTTTGTTTAAGAAGAAAGCATGAGTGAGGCAGGCAAGAGCGTCCATTTGCTCTGGGAGTCAAGCTCAAAAGCTGCTGATGGAGAATGTACAAGTGCCCTAGAGAGCAAGGTACCGAATTCCCTGCAAGCAAGGTATGTTATTCTCTCTATTATCACATGCTAAATCTGTAAAAATAAGACATTAAGAGTAAAGTATTTTGAAATCTTAAATTAATTTTCACCTTTTAATCACCAAGCATTTGAATCAGTTTTTCCAGAAACTCCCACTAGCTGGTTTTGACCTCATCTCCAGTTCCATAAACGCCTTTAGCAATGGTTCCCAGAGATTGGGTTTTTTGAACATTTTCCTTCATGTGCCCTTCAAATTGGGCCAGATCTGCACAACAAAGTCATAAACCCAGGAGTGCCCGACCTCAGAGTCCTCCCCAGGATCAATACCAAATCAATCGTCGCACAACCTTTCATTAAAGCACATTGCTGCTGAGCCGATTTGAAATGCACTTGGGGCAGCTCCATCGCTGATGAAGGGGGGCCGTACCAGGAGGCAGCGGCTCCATCAGCCTGGCAGAGCTCCCAGCTATTGCATGGTTCCCCTTCCCCAGCACTTTGAAAGTTTATTTCTTGAAAAATCATAGGTAACAAAGTGCAGAGTGATGGGAGGGAACTGGTCCCCATTTGCAGCCGCAATTTGCTGCAGCAGAGCAAGGACAGCGAGCCCCAGCCGCGGGGGGGCCGTACCAGGAGGCAGCGGCTCCATCAGCCTGGCAGAGCTCCCAGCTATTGCATGGTTCCCCTTCCCCAGCACTTTGAAAGTTTATTTCTTGAAAAATCATAGGTAACAAAGTGCAGAGTGATGGGAGGGAACTGGTCCCCATTTGCAGCCGCAATTTGCTGCAGCAGAGCAAGGACAGCGAGCCCCAGCCGCAGGCAGGGCTGGCCAGGCACTGACTCTCCGAGACCTGAGGAGCATGAAGGTGACCTGACAAATGTAATCACTGACAAGCAGGGGAAGCAGCACCTCTGAGAAGATAACAGCCTTCCCAGCACATTCAGTTCACAATCCCAAGCTTATCTCTGCAAGCTGAAGAGCCCCCAACTCAGTTTTGTTAGAGAAAATTGCAGTGCGCTACTCCAAGTCCCCTGGGAATTAAACCAATACTTAAGGAAAATGTGAAACGTGGTGTCAGACCACAGGGGGGGGCAGTGGCATGTGCCCCAGCCCAGGGCACTGACACACAGCCCCCCCCCCCAAAGCTCTGCTGGGTGCGGGCACCACTTGGCTGGGGAGAGGCCAACTCCTGCACCCAAGGCATTTGGTGCAGGGACAAAGCAGGAAAAGCAAAAGGTGGGAGACAGGGAATATCATCCCTCCCCACGAGACACAGAGGGATTTGACTTGCCTACGCTCACATGGAGACCTGTGGTCCAATCCTGTGCCCCTCACAGCCCAGAGGGACCAGCAGCCAGCCCAGATCCTCCAGCTGAGGAGGGGGGATATAAATCCCCTGGGAAGCCCTCAGCCCTTTGCCAGCTGGGCTGATGACTACGGCTTTCAGCTGGGGGAGGAAACTTCCTGGCGGGGCCACCCTCCTTCCCCAGCCCTGGCATCCCCCCGATGCCTGGCCAGGGGGTCAAGCTGCCCGTGCGGCCACCCCAGCCCCAGCGACAGCTCTGAGGGCAACGGGGACTTGGAAAGATTTTGAGCTTCAGAGGAAAAGGGGTGCAGGGGAGGGCAATGAATCAGGGCTTGTCGGGCAGCGAGGACAAAGCCGGTGGAGGAACGGTATTTAAAAGGATTTTATGACAGCGATCAGCAAAGAAAGCATGGTTCAGAGGAGTTGCCAGCCAGTTCGGATGGGTATTTTGAAGACAACTGCATTTCCCTTCCCTGAACTACATCCCATTTTGAGGGGCAGGGGGGGGAAGTTTCATTTGCTTTCATGAAATGAGAGAAAGGGCCATCACACAAAACTGGAGAGCACATTTCAGCCTGGGTAGGAGGAACGTTTCCCTGCGCCATCCCACGCTCAGCAGCCTTCAGGAACAGTGATGCATCTAAGTAAAATACCAAGCAAATTGTATCGGCGGGTTAGAGTGTTACAAGGAATAAAAGCTGGCAGGTGTCAGCCCGTGCCAGGCGCTGACCGAGGCGAGGGGAAGGGGAAGCCCTGCTCGCGCGGCTGCCAGGGGCTTCGGGCATCTCCCCATCCCGGTGGTGGTCTGACCTGAAACCCCGCCAAGCAGCATCCCGGGAGTCACAGCTTCACCTCGGTGTACTCGATGGACTTGGATGCCACAGGGCTGGAGCAGGGCCAGAAATCCACATTCCTCTTCTTTGGGTCCACGTTGACGTAGTCCGCCCTAGTCTTCATGTTCTCGTAGTCCCCAGGAGAGCCTGGCCCGTGGGCTTTCCCCGGGAAGACAAGGGACGTGTAATTGAGGTTTTCTTCTGAGCAAGGGCCCTGGAGAAGCAGACACGAACCCCAGGTCAGGCACCAGCATCCACCCGGGGTGACTTTGCCCTTGAACCCACACGAAGGCGTGCAGCCGTTCAAGGTGCCCGGGTTGTGCCCAGGGATCTCCCTGGCCCCTGGGAACGCTTCCCTCTAAACGGGGAACATTACGTATGGCAGGTGACAACCATCACCCCAGCCTCACTGCCGGTATTGCAGTACGGTTCGATGCATTTGCCCCTCCATTGCTACTCTTTGGGTCTCAAGCCGGGCAGAGGCCGTGCGGACATGGCGCCGGCACCCCCGCTGCTGTGGCTGTGGTTGCTTTTGGCAAAGGCTCTCTGCCCGGCGCCGTACCTGCGGGCAGGAAGGGCTGCTGTCTGAGTCCTCTGAGGTCTCTGAAGACGTGTCGCTGCTCCCTTAAAAACAGGAAACATTACCACCTCGATCGCTACTTAGGGGGTTAAAGGAAAAAAATAATTAGGGGGAAAACGCAAATGCACTCAAGAGTGAAAACTGAAAATCCAAAAAGCATCAGTGTGATCCCTCCCCTCGTCATCCCCCTGCCCGTGGGGAAAGCCCAGAGGGGGGCAACTGGAATTGCGAGCGGCTGTTGCGCCTGCCCTTTGCCCGGCCGCTTGCTCCCTCTTCCACCCCAAGGCCAGCAGGTGGGGGTCTTCACAGCCGGTTAAGGAAGAGAGTATTGCACACGTGTAATACATTTATATTCATGTGCCAGGACAAAACCCCGTTGCTGTAGGATCCCCCCCTTACCCGTGTAGACTGGTCTTTGCACCCCTTCCCCTCCGGCTGAAGAGGTCGGAGGCTGTTGGGGCTGTGCTGCAGGGCTGCTGCTCGCCTGCTTGCCGCAGGAATGGCTGGCTGCAACAGAGAGGCGAATTAGCTCCCTGCTCCGGCCCGAGATGCCGGCTGTGTCCGATGCACCCCCACGCACCGTGCCACACGGACCCCCACCCGCCCCCCCGAGCAAAGCCAGTTCAGCGCAAGCCGCTGGCACGGCAATAATTATTATTATGTATTGGAGCAGGCACATATCTGTCAATTCAATTACTGAGATGATTAATGGCATGCCCTGTTCTCCCACGATGAAAGATTCCAGTGTTAAATCACGCCATCAGGGCCTCTTCCCGTGCAAGTTTGAAATGAGTTTGACCCACGGGGCCAAGCAGAGCTTGTTTATGTACAAATGTGGGCAGCAGTTTTGCGTGAAAGATTTTCCTGCTGGAAATTGTAGCGTCATCTGAATTAATATTTCGCAAATTGATTCCGATGGTAATTTTTCCACCACTTTACTAAGAAGAGCAATAAAAGAAAATGTTTTTGAAACAACAGAAGACTGTATAACCCTATCCGATACTGCCCACACCACTTACAGCTGCTGGCAGAGCGGCTGGGGGGGGGGGGGGGCCCCCGCGCGCGCCCAGCCGGACCAGCCGCCCCGCCTCCCCCGCCTGGCCCCCCAGCACAGCGCAGCGATGCTGGTGGATAATGGATAATCTGCCCCGTTCCCATCCCACGCCGGTGCCCGGCCCACCCGGGGGTCCGG